CTTTCCCTATCTCCCCTCTAAGAGAATGTGATTTATTAAAAAATAAATAAATAAATAAATAATCTCTATATAACCTGCATAGCATGATCTGTCTTTTCTGCCTTATTGTTAGCATTTAGAGCATTTGCATGAAATTAGGAAGCTAGCATTTGAAAGTTCACTTGCTTCAGTTGATCATTCTGTGTCTGAGATGATAATTGGTTTCATAACAACTAATTGAGATGTTAAGCATACAATTGATGGTAGGAAATAATCAGAAGATAAAAACACTTATTTCACAATTATTTTCCATGAAGTTATCTTTAAAATAAAGAAGGAGAAGAGGTAGTAACAGCAACATGTGCTCCTCACCTTTGATCACCCCACAGTAGATCCCATGTCAGACGGCAAAGAACGTGCTCGTTTGCTCAACACTCCACTTCTGGGTAGAGGAGGAAAAAAAGGTAAGGTCAAATCTAAAGACTTCCTGCTGGTGTGTCTTGAGTTACTTAACGGATGTTTGCTTTAGATCTACTGGAAATACCCGTCTTGAGAATGAAATTAAGTCAAATGTATATATTATACAGGAATGCATCACAACAATATATGAACATAGAACTGTCATCTGCCTCCTATCAAAAGTTTATGTAGCTCCAAAATTGTCTGTCTGACAGTGATGCATCGTGGATAATTTAAAGGAGGAGGGTGAGAAACTGGGTATGTCTAGGTGCCAGCAGTCATGGGAGCAGTCATGGGAGCATCCATACATGCAGGCACATGTGCTTGCAACAGCTCAAATAGAAGTGGTGCAAATTTGAGTCAGGGCTTTTTGCCTCAGCACATGTGCCCAAACATGCACTTTGGTGTGCGTCAAGTTGTGCCACTTGGGGCAAAATAACCCTGCCTGGCTGCTCATGGATCTGCAGCCAGGGGGAGCTAGAGCCCAGGGCTAGCACCTGTCCTGTCCCCAGCAGTATAAAAAGCTGCCCTGTCCTGGCTCCATCAGTACAAAAATCTGTCCTGTAAAGTAGCTCAGGGATACTCGCTCTCAGGAGCTTCTGTGGCCCAGCCAATTGGTACCTGGGGACACTACCACTTGTTCCAGCTGGACTGCTGAAGCATCCCTGAGAGCTCCCTGCACCCTTTACCCACTGCAGCAGTCTGACAATGAGGGCTGCTACCTGGCTGTAACCTGCTGTGCACCTCCCAGACCTGGATGGGGACTGCACAGCCAGTAGAGGCATCTGCCCCTCCGGGCCAGCTGCCAGTGAACTGTGGTTGCAGGGTTGGCCTTTGTGCAGCACTACAGCCATTTATGCCCCCTGCCCGGCCATCTGGGCAGCTATCGCCTGGAAGATGTTCTGGGG